GGTTTTTGGTTTATGCCCACATAAAAGCAGTTGAAAAGGTTATGTGACACATATTCATAGATGATCTGATTCAGAAACTGTTTTCTTCAAGTATTTGGATCTTAGTTTCGATGATGGCACCGGCATGTGGACAGATTCTCGTCTCATTTTTATACACGTCTTCACTGTAGGGCGTGCAGTTTGCTTGAGTTTAGTGGAAATTTGATCTCTAATGTAAAACCTAGCCGGCAAATTCTGGTATCATGATACTAACTTAATTTTAATACAGTAGACTTTGTTCAGCTCTGTTAATCTCAGTTTCATTGGCAATAGTGTAAAATACTCTGCATTTGTAGTGGCATTACTTGGGCACAGTTTATAAATTTTAAGGCAAGACTTCTTTCTGTTCCAACTAGCTTTGAAACCATTTGAGGCATTTTGGTTTGTGCCTTATCAAAACTGCTAGACTGCAAATTCTCTGTTTTAATGTTTCATCAAGCAAAACGACACAACCGTGCTGAGTGATTGACTTGCTTGGCTGATCTGCCCTTCTGAAGGCCACATACCTGCAGTGATTACTTCTAGGTTTTGCTACCATCCACTTTTATTTTCTTGGGACAGTATCACTTGAGCAGCTGTTAGATGGCTCCAGGTTGTCAACTTGGACTTGCAGTGATGCTACCTACAACCTCAGAAGTGTTTGTGTTCGTTTCCTCCTTCCCAGGTGGGAACTGCGTACCTGCAGGATGGGCCTCCTCTAGGTCTGCGTTAGCAGCTCTTCTGAAACTAACCAAGAATCATTTTTACAAGAAAAGTTTTTGTACGCCGTGCTGCCCGCAATACCCTTGCAGATGGTCTGGTGTACTGGCTTCAGCACAGAGGAGTCAAACAGCCCCTTTGTACTGAATAAGATGATAAAAGCAATTGATCTCATCATGTTCAGTTTGTGGGCTCAAGTGACTCCGAAGGTTGATCCCTACACGTAGTCTTAAAACATCTTAAGTATAGTGGAGGACTTGCCTAGCTCCTCTCCTCTGGGCCATCTTTCAGCCTGGCATAAACCAGACCAGCTGCAGACAGATTTATGGGAACTTTCAAACACCTATCTTTTTGGGGTATAGGTATCAGTAACATTAGCGCGTCCTTTGAAAACAGCCTCAAGAGGTTTCTGGGTGGTGTTTTCTACTTAGCTTTGGTAGTTGTCTCTGAGTCCTCACTTAGAAGAGAGTGAATGCATAGAGGGGAGGCTGTGCTTTTCCCCTGCAAAGGGGAATTCCTCGATCATCTTTTTCGAGCAGATTCAGGCATGTTGTTCCTTTTGCTTTCACACTATAATCCTACACATCCTGTCCTCATTCCTATAGTAACGGAAGAGCTTTGCTCGGGAGTGTTGGCTTCACTTCAGTGGTCTTTCTCTTCCCTCCTAGGAAACGGTCTGAATGTGTCAGAAAAGTCCCAGTTCCTCAGAACTGCATCTGGCCAAGGACCTGACCAAGTTGGTCTGTAGTATTTCGCTCATTAAAAGCCTGCTTCTTTCCCCCATAAAAAAACAAAGTCATCTGTGAACACTAACAAAGGATTAATTGTGGAGACTTGGGACTTGGCAGCACTGCCTCTAAATGAAGTGCTTTTTTGGAAGCTACATTGCTGGTCTTGCAGATCAAAAAATAAATGCGAAGTATTTCAGTGTGTATCAGTGGATTAATTCATTTGATTGCCACTTCCCTTCCTCTCCTCTTTGTGGGGAGGGGTGCTCCGGAGATTGCAATTTTAATTGCTTGACCGCAGTTTCTAATTAGTGGTGCACCAAGAGGGCATGGATCAGTAATTAGTACTGAATATAAGGATCTCTGAGGTTGAGCTATAGTATCAAATGGATGAGTTTAGACAACTCTCGACTGAAATTACAGTCTATCAGTAAACTGAGTTACAATAATGAAACCATTAGAATTTTTTCTCAGTCCCTACATGTTGGTTTCTGTGTTTGCAGCATACATTCTGGTGGTCTTAAAGAATGTAGCATTTTTATATAAATATGTATTTAATATTTGTGTATATTAGACATATTTATTCTGAAGGGATATATATATGCATGCCTATAGAATAGTTGTACATAATTCAGAGTTGTACAGTGGCACGGCTTATTTAATTTTATTAAATCTTTTGGAGGTTTAATCCATTAGGTATTTTCATTCGCAATATATAAAAACAGTGATCTCTCCAGTCACTTTCTTTTTCAGTTGATATCTGGATTTGTGCTGCTGTATCCACAGGGAAATCTAGCTCTTGAGTGCAATGGTCTGAAAACAGAATATTATCCACATTATTACTTTAATGTCCAATAGTCTGTATTATATTTTTTCTGGGTTTAAAATTTGATGATGGAAGTAAATTGTATAACTTCAGTTATACATTAACATTGCTGCATTAAAGATTCTCAGATAGTGCAGTGTGGCATGGGAACATGCCTATAATACATACTGGTATCAACTTGTTTTTTACTAGGTGGATTAAGAACTGTTTAATGGACAGACTGGCAAATGTAGGCACATGTGAGGTCACCATAAATTGCTCTGTGCATAGCAGGGTTACTGGTGCATCAGTATAAAACAGTGTTCTACAGTATTTGCATCCAGACTTTAGAGGTATATAGGAAATAATTGCTGATAAAACTTACGAATCATCTGAACAGCATGTGCCTTACTTCAGCTAAATTCATAAACTGGACTTTGGTTATAGACATGTAATTATACACGTTGATGGGGCAAATGGAAAACAATGGCTCTGAAATTTAAATACTACAAAAAATTATATAAATGGATCAAACTCTGCCACCTGTTCCACTCCAATATTCCATTTGTGCATTTATATGTATCCATTTGGGAGCTTTTAAAATGTGAAACACATTTGAATATGCAGGAGCCATAAAGTCTGGTTTGTAAAACCCAGCAGAATTTAGCGTAAATCTAGAACACTGTGCTTGTATTTAGTGGGAAGCAGGAATTAATTTGTAGAAAACTACTGAAGTCCTTTTTTTACAGAAAAACTATATTCACTTTATTTTTTAATCCTCTTGTAGAATTTTGTAGGAAGATGGTGTCCAGCAGTTTACTGGTATATTAACGGATATTTATTCATGTAAGTCTCTGGGGCTGAGCATCCATCTCCGTTTGAGAGTTAGTAGAAACTAGGTGTCTGGAAGTTCAGAAGTTGGCAGGAGTTTTCATAGGACGTTTTTCCTTAAGGTAATTTTCTTGGCTTTTGCTGTGTTTGAGACTCAGTTTGTGGAAAGAGGGTTGTGTTTCTTCTCTCTCCTGCTCCTGCTTCCTCTTTCTGAAACAGTGCAGCTGCCTGCCACAAATTCACCAGTGCGTCGCACGGAAACTTGGCTTCTTGGCACATGGAAGGGACGGCTCTTTTCTTTTGCACTTATCTCTGCGGAATTAAATTCACATTCTGTGTTCTTGCATAGGTTTACAGCCAAATTTTTCACTTCGGCTTCCTTCCTCTCCCTGCTCCTCTTTCCTTAATGAAAAGATGCTCAGGTCTAATGCATGTAGCTGCAGCTGAAAGAAGATGAAAATAGCACAGAGGAAATAGCTATATTACTGAGACCTGGACCTTTATTTAGCATCACATTTGCTGGCATGTCACTGTAACAGAGCCCAAAAGCTGGCTAGATTACTTTTTTCAACAGATTAATTGATAATCTCTAATTTTAAAGGGAACAAAGTTTTGTTTGCAGTCAAACATAATTTTTCCAGCTTCAATTGTTCATCCCACCTAAGCTAATGACAAAGTCATATTCATTCAGTGTAAACAGGAGTAGATTCACCACATCTGTATGTGTTCAGGCTGTTTCCCAAGGGCTATGAGTACATCCAAACTGAGACACAGACTGCTAAAACCAATTATCTCTATGACGCTGGCTAAAACTGCTTATTTTCTGGACCTTTGAAAATCAAGTAATTTATGGAGCACCCAAGGATGAGCACTGGTTTTTAGAGTTAGGTGACACAGATTCTTAGATAATGTATTCCAGGTAAGTGTCTACAAAAAGATCAAAAAATCAATCTCAGCACCTTTTGCCTTAAATAGTTTCTGGAAGCCTGGTAGAATCCCATGCCGGCTCTTCCCTGAGTAAGGAAGAAATTATTTTCAAAAATTACTCAGAATAGTATGGGGCAAAGAAGTCAAAACAGCAGTGTTGGGTAGGACAGCATTTCTGATAAATCACAAATGATCTTTCTGACAGAGGAATATCCTGTAAAATACCTAAACACAGAAGTCCTTATAATTGAAGTTAACAGATTTTTTAAAAAGGGGAGAGAGAGAGAGAGCAATGGCACGATGTGCACTAAGGTGTTCTGGAGAAAAGATGCCAATAGATGCTCACAGAACCTGGACTCTACTTTTGCACAGGTATCTCCCTTGGTAAAGCTGTTATGAAGTACCTTGAAAATAGTGCTGCTGAAATCACTCACCTTATTTGTGGATTTGGCAGAAACACCATTGTTCTCCACTCCTCTGAATACTTCCCTTGCTTTCACTTTGAACTTAAAAACTTCAGTCTGCTTTCCCTAATTTAACCTCCTTCACCACAATGCCCTTTTGTAATTTACCCGTCTTTTTATTATTCAGTCATTCCCAGCTTCTTCAGCTGAGCTAACATGATGGTCTGCACCGTTTCCTTGAAATCATCTCTCACAGCATTTTAATAACTTCCCTAAGTAAGTTCACAGTGCTCCTGCCTTTTCGGTTCATGTCATCGCTGTTTGAGTCGTCGGTGCAATCAAGTGGCAATAGCCAGTTAGGCAGCCACAGCTGTGTACATTGGATGTGTATGTTTAACCAGGGTGCTTAAATGTGAGGTCTTTTCTTGGTTGAGCTCCATCAGGTTTGTGAAGGAGAAGGAGACTGTGGCTGGCAGATTTGCCAAGCACATGAAAAGCAAAAGTGATCTTGAACTGCCAAAAGAATTCAAAAAAATGTTGCCATACTTGCCTGCATAAAAAGGGAATATGAAGTATGAGTGTAAAAGAGGTATTGATTTTTGCATTTAAGTAAGATCGTTTGGGAATCCTACATTCACTTTTCATAGCCATATTGGAAAAAAAGCATTGGAAGAGGCTGAGAAGAGATCTAATCTGACACCTCTACTCCCACGAAAGGCTCAAACTCAATTTTATTTCCCCAAGAGAAGGCTAAGAGGTGAATTGGGTTTTGTTCACTCCATATATATACATGCACAAGTAGATCAGCTAAAACTGCTTCCCAGCAAGCAGAAATAGCTGTCCAGATCAGTGGCGGGACACTGACAAGCATGAACCAGAAACAAGATGTGAGTTTGCAGCACTCCGAGTATCACTGGAACATTTTAGATAGGGGAGTAATAGAGTCACTGTCACTTGATTGAATGTCTTTCTTAAAACCTTCTCTATACCCCAGCCAGCTCACGGCTTCTGTACATAGGAATTGCTGCATGAGGACTTAAAGCCTGTCAAGTAGAAGTTGTATGGCTCTCCTGGCCTTACGCTACCTATATGTTCTTATTTTTCCTGTTCTGTTCTTTTCCCTTGTTTTACTCATTGCACCCTACCGAGATGGGCAGCAGTCAGATCTCAATCTTTTGTATTTGCACAGCTTCCCATTGCCATGATGTTGGCCACGTAGAAATAATAAACAGTGCTGAGGGTTGGTAACAGTTCAAAGAACTCACATGGGATGCAGCTACTGAATATCCATTTATTTATTACTTTCCTTTTCTTTTTTTTTTCCCATAGTGAAATACATGAGAGAAGCAACCCCCTATGTGAAGAAAGGCTCTCCTGTTTCAGAAATTGGGTGGGAGACGCCTCCCCCCGAATCTCCCCGCTTGGGTTGTGCCTCTGCCGACCCCCTGTCGCAGCTTTCGCTCTCCATCCACAGAGACAAGAAGACAATACCACTCAAGATGTGCTACGTGACACGCAACATGACGGTGTCGGACCCCGAAAACAGGTGAGTCAAAGATTTGGGGCTTTGGAATTTTGCCTTCGCGTTGAATCGTTGTTGACCTTTTCAGTGTTGGGGTTGGTGAGGAGGAGCTGGTGATGGCTCTGGCTGCACACACAAACCCAGCGAGGGGCAAGCAAGGACTGGTTTGGGGAGAGCGGGTGGTGGTGTCTGAGCTGCGTGGTGCTGGTTCAGCTTTTGGGTTGTGCTAGAGAAACTTTCCAGTGCAGTAATCCAATATTTTTATTAGAAATAGAATCACAGGAGTTTGTTTTTATCCTGATAAAGTGTCTGCTTTTGAAGGAAAAGATACTGTACACACTAATTAGTTACATCTTCCGGGCTGGCTTAATCTAATTCCACTAAATTGCATTTTCTTTTCTTTTCTTTTTAATGACTATTATTTTAAGAATGGCCTGTTTTGTCCATTCAGTTCTGAGCATTAAAGTCAAGAACAGAAGAAAAGTTCCACTTACAAGGCATTAATGGGGAATTTCTGTGACTTCTTGTTTTTTTTTCATAAGGTTAAAAATAGGATGAGCTTTTAACAGCCCTTATTTATAACATATGTGGAGCAGCTGCACCACACCAGCACGCGCTCTGATCCCTGCTCTAACAGCTGCTAGTAAAAAAGGGACCAGTCAAGTCAGTAATACAGACTGATTCTTCCATCCAAATAATGGCCTTTTTGTTTTTCTGCAGTGTCGGCTTGCCCAGAAGCTGGGTGCAATGCCTTTGATTCTCAGCACTTATGGATAGGCATAAATAAAAGTTACATTTTCATTTGAAGAGAAGGAGAAGAGGGAAGAGCAGAAGGGGGTTTGGGGAGTATGGGTTCCCCTGCAATCTCTTGCACTGCAATTCAGAAACTTTATCAGTATCTGTAATTTTCCTTCTTTTTTTTTTATATTTGTCTGACCGTCTTTTAAGGGTTCTTCCCCACCCCCCACTTTATTGTTTAGTATTGCTTTACTTTGCTTCTGCTGTTCATCTCATCAAGTGGTTACCAACATAGTCCGTGATAACTGACCACTACAAAAGTGCAATTGTAAACCAGCAATTACCCTAGCAGTCCTTCTCAAGTTTAAATCAAGATGGTTCTTGATATCGGCCACTTTTTTTTTCCCCATATATCTGTATAATTTAGGATGTTGAGGTTTGACAGCTCTATCACTAGCTTGAGAGTTTGTCATTCTCTCTGCCATAGAGTGTATTTTAAAAACATGCATGCAGGTTGCAGTGTTTGAATCAGCACAATGTAACGATGCTTTACGCATGTTGGCTCCTTTCTTTCAACATTTTTCCCTTTTTTTTTTTTTTTTCCGTATTATAGTTCTCAGTGTCTGTCACTTTCCTGGTCCTCAATTTTGTTTGAAGGCCAGGAGGACTGATTCAGAGGGACACACTCATTGCCCATGACACTTCTGCGATGGAGCTGACTTTTTCGGAGTGCGCTACAAATGTGTGTGTGTTCTTAGGTGTTACTAGGAAGTAACGCGTGGGAGAGTCGTATTGCTTATTATCAT